CACACTGTCAGTTCAGAGCGCTATGCAGGGCTCCAACTCACAAACCATGTGATCATGACCCAAGCTGGAATCAAGAGTTGGAGGCTTAACTGACTGAGCCATGCAGGCATCCCAAGATCATTATTTTCTTATTTTACTTATTCTATTTCCTGTACCATTACTTTTATAAAGATTGGAATTACATTAAAAATGGTTTTGCATAGCTATTTATAAAATTAAATTATTTTTTTTCTTAACATAACCAACATAACCATCCCTTAGATGGGTTTCCATAAACCATAACGGGTTTACAAATAGGCTTTTGTGTGTAGTCCTCACTGTCTTTGAAATTAAAAGTAAATGAAATTTTACATATTGGGATTTGTCGTAAGACTTAAATTTCCAGAACTTCTGATAAAATTACAACAGCACGTTATATTTTGACAGAGAGAGAGAGAATGTCGGCTCCTAATACCAACGGCTCTCATCAGTCAAAATATATATTAATGTAGTGATTTCCATTATTTTTGTCTTTCTGTTAATTTTACTTGTATGGAAATCATCAACAAAGTGGAAAAATGGGGTTCCTTCAATAAATTCCACGGTTCTGTAATAACTGGAATTACAAGGTTATTCTAACAAAGAAGATTCAATCAGATCCTAGTTAAGGAAGAATTAGGATAGCTGAACCAATTACCGATTTTCAAATATGAAGAGGAAGCCTCACACGGAGCCCTAGGGATGAGCTGCAGAGTAGCGGCAGCAACAGAAGGAAACCCTTGGCATCATTTTGATTCAGATCTAGGATTATCAACAAGTTTGAGAAGGTGGGAGCGACATGAAGTGTGCCCCCCTCGATAGCTAACCATGGTTGGCAATGCTTGTTAGGTAGTATGGACACGCCACCAGGCTGAGGGAGATAAAGACTCCGCAATTACAGGTGCCATGATGGAGAGTTCAGTAGGCACATGCAACAATGACAGTGTAGAAACTAGACCCCCGGGGAACGCTGAAGAGAAAGTCACCGGTCAGTTCCACTAGGGGATTCGCAAAAGTTTTGGTGGTGGATATGGTTCTTGGAGACACAAAGACCCCTGCTTTGGACACGTCACTGTCAGTCCCAGCTCATTGTGCTGTGGTCATCCTCTCTGTAGGACAATCATGTTTTACTACCTGATGGTAGAAGGTCAAATCAACCGTGGTTCTTGAGCCACTGCATTAATTTTTCTTCTTTTCTAGAAGTCTCTATCAAGTTTCAAAGTATCTATAAATCCTCCGAAAGAGGTCACATAAGTTTCACCAGATTTGTAAAGAGGTATATGATTAAAAATGATTTAAAAAAAAAAAACACAACACTTTGCTGTCTTTGAAATAAAAGTCTTTCCTTAAGGTAGCAACATAACAACATAATTCCTTCAAGATAGAATCTTCTACCTGGCAGATTTATCTATTCTTCCTCCCTCCCTCCCTCCCTTCCTTCCGTCCTTCCTTTCTTCCTTCCTTCTTTCCTTCCCTCCCTCCTTCCTTCCTTCCCTCCTTCCTTCCTTCCTCCCTCCCTTCCTTCCATCCTTCCCTCCTCCCTTCCTTTATCTCTATCATTTCTTTACCTTATGAGTGTTGATTCAAGTATAGTTCCTACTTTTTTTTTTTTATTAACATATAAGGGCTTCCTGAAAAAATACACAATGCAAATTATATCCTCTTATATTTCCAAGTGGGCATTAATTGTATTCCACAGTCTTAACTTAAGTCAACATGATGTTAAACAGTCAGTTTTTACAGGCTTATCTTTCTCTTTCGGACTAAAAGCCTTAACATGGATTTCCTTCACCTGAATGCCCTTTACTTGGTAGTTGTCTATGTCACTCGCTGCTCTTCTCGAATGACATGTTAGGCAGTCCTAGTTAAACCCACACTCTTATTCCTTTACAGCCTAGGGATTAATAACTTAAGTAATCCTGCTCCATAAGTAGCTAGTTTGATGTGACTGCAGTTATATCCTTTCATCTTTTTGAGCCTTCATGTTCAGACTCTGACTCTGTTTTGTGCAACATCATATTAATTTTTTTGGCTTTTCGTAACACAAATGACTGGTTCTGATAACACATAATTAACATTAGTTTCTAAGAAGTTTGACATTACAAATCTTCTTGACAGATTTCAATTTTCCTTGTTTAATTTTCTTGTTTAAGAGTGGTCTTAAAAATAATGCAAAGAATTTAGGATTTGCATTATTTAGAATTAATATTCTTGCCAAAAGTAGAAAATGAAAAAAATTTTTAATGTTCATTTATTTTTGAGAGAGAGACAGAGAGACAGAGCAGGAGCAGGGGAAGAGCAGAGAGAGAGTAAGACACAGAATCCAAAGCAGGCTCCAGGCTCTGAGCTGTCAGCACAGAGCCCGACTTGGGGCTCGAACCCACAAACTTCAAGATCATGACCTGAGCCGAAGTCGGACGCTCAGCTGACTGAGCCACTCAGGTGCCCCAAAAGTAGACAATTTTTAAAACTTTGCTCAATGAATGCATTTCATTAAGAATATATTATTTAGTGGCACTTGGGAGACTCAGATGGTTGGTTAATCAGCTTTTGGTTTTGGTTCAGGTCATGAGCTCACAGTTCGTAGGTCGGATCCCCCCTTTGGGCTCTGCGCTGACAACACGGAGCCTGCTTGGGATTCTCTTTTCTGTCTCTCTGCCCCTTCCTCTCTCATGCTCTCTCTCTCTCTCTCAAAACAAACTTTTAAAAAAGAATATATTATCTCCTGATATTTTATTACATTTACTAAGTTAAGCATTATTTCAATTGTATGACACAAAGCTTTATTTTTAAAAATAAATTTAAATCGTCATTAATGTTTCCAACATGTTTATCTTATAAGCGGCTTTATTGATATGATTCCCTATGATGACAAAATGAGTCATTTAAAAGAAAATACTTCTAACATTTTCTACACTGAATCTTCATTTATAATTCAGGTTTCGTAGAACATTCCTAGGTAAAAGTCGGCATACTGTTTCCAACTGAGAAAGACTTTCACATCTGAGGAAACTTCAGCTGATTCCTTATCCTTCTAACTTGGGACATGCCTGCTAGTGATTGAGGTTCTGGAGGTGCTCAGCCGGCAACCTCTGCTCTGGACCCCAGCCTGGTTCATGCATATTTGCCACTCACTTGAGTGTATAGACATTAATCTAGAGTTGACAAGAAAACAGAAAGGGATTCGCAAAGTATAGGAGAAAACAAGGCATCTTTGCTCAGCTTCTTTAAAACACCCTCGTTGTCTTCGAAGGAAATCCAGACTTCTTTGATATTCATTTTATATGTGATTATTTATTATATTAATAACTGTCACATATTGAGCTCTAACTTCACGACCTTTGTGTTTTCATTTACTTTTCCAACAAATATGTGTAGCTCATATGGTGATAGACTTTTTGCATAGGATGAAAAGTAGACACAGGGTAGTTAATAACTTGCCTGCTGAAATTCAGTAACAGTTACGGCCGGATTCAGACGGAGGTCTCTATGACGGCACAGCTTGATCGTGTTATCATGCATCTACCTTGCAGCTCCAGAACACTCTGTAAACGAGCATCATTAAAGTATTGTCTCTGAACGCACTGTGTTTCATTTTCCCGTCCCAGCTCTTACAGCCCCGGGACTCACATTGGTAGATTACTGAAAGGATTTTGGAAAACAACAAATGATAGTCTCCCCCCTTCTCACTGCATTTATCGAACCTACACATACGTGTGCTCGTTTGTATACGTACATCACTGCGGCCGGAGCATGGCTACATTTACTTAGAGTATTCGGACTTTTCTGTCCGATGAAAACGTTAAAAGTGACAAAGCTAGACCGTTTGTGCCGGAAGACAAAGGTCCATACAAAATATTGGTGGAATTTTACAGTTTTTTGTAACGATTCATAAGAACTAGCAAAAAGCATAGTTCTGCCAACTTTTCAGTATGGATTTTTTTTATTGATTAATAAAAGATTCTTAGGAAACTGTTCTTTCTGTTTGTGTCTCCAAACCCATCCTGATTTTAGCTGAAGACACTGGTAGTTTTAGAGACTTTCTTTAGCTGATTCCTCACCAAAACAAGAAGTATTCTGAAATGACTATAGTAATCTAAGAAAAATATGTTTGTGTGTGTGTGTGTGTGTGTGTGTGTGTCCCTACTGAAATCACATAAATCTTCCAAAACTTTCTTTTCTTGTGTATTTTAAATGACACACATGTTGCCAGTAAGTTTTGCACATGAGCCGTTTGATGATTTTCCAAGTTTGTGCATCATATCCATTGCATTTCCTGTTAGTTCACATTTATCAGTAGGACAAAGGGAACTGAAAACTAACAACAAGGAAAAATAAACTAAATCAGGAAAATAATTTCTAAATGAAAAGCCTGTGTTTAGTGTGATGTGAGATTATACCACACAGAGTTAGCATTCGTTAAGTTTCTCTCTCCAACCAATGAAAAATAAAAACTGGTTTTAGTTATCAAAGTTTCTGTTGAACCAAAGACTTTGTGTGTTATGAGTTCACTTGTCTAAAAGCCGATACTCATTTCCAGTTGGAGTTTACAGTTCGTTAACATGACTTAATACAGACGAAATTCTTTCTCCGAAGATTTATTTTAAAATGTTATGAAATGTCACTCATGAAATTCTCTTCAAGTAAACGTAAAAAAAAAGTGAAGTGAAAAATAAAAATTACAAAAAGTTATTCTATGTTCTCGATAGACTGTGCATGGACACACAGGCTTCCTGTTTCTCATAAGTGACAAAATCATTAGAAGAAAATCTGTTTGGACCATGTGTACACATCAAAATTGGAAGACTTTTGATAGCCAACATTGTTAGAAATTAGTAGCTGATGTTTGATATGCAATGGGATTTTAGTATGCCAGTTGGGAATATCAGTATATATTAACTCAGGAAGAATAGATTCTCATAAAATTCGGGGCTCTTGTGTAACTTTGTTGATTGCTCACTTTTATTTATTTATCATTGCAGATTAAAAAAATCAACAGAAACTTTCCCGTAAACCAGCAGGTAAGATGGAAACATACTTGGAGAGACAAATCACATATTACTTCCAGGTTATCTTTTATAGAAAATAGTTTTGATTGCATTTAATTTTTATGTGGAAATAATTGGCACTGTTGTTTGCTCTCTAGGAAAACAGATAATTTATTAGATTTTTCCACATTATGTAATATATCTGTTTCTCTAATCATATTAAAAACAGTTTTAAACAATTATTTTCTCCAGGGCCCCTGGGTGGCTCAGTCGGTTAAGCATCCGACTTCGGCTCAGGTCATGATCTCACCATTTGTGGGTTCGAACCCCGCATCAGGCTCTGTGCTGACAGCTCGGAGCCCGGAGCCTGCTTCGGATTCTGCGTCTCCCTCTCTCTCTGCCTCTTCCTCACTCGCACTCTGTCTCTCTCTCAAAAATAAATAAAGATTAGCAAAAAAAAACCCCTAAAAAATAATATTTTATCTAAGTAAACTAAGTCAAAGCTATATTTGACAAAATACATATATTTATTTGAATATAATGTTGAAGAACTAAGGGAGCTATTTATCATAAGATAGTTTGTATCTTATTTGGGAGACCTATGTTTGATCTAAAAGTTAGAAGAAATTTTCAAAATTGGCTGATGTACTTTACATGAGTCTAAATTAATGCATAGAATGAAAATAATGTCTGATTCATCCAGCCGAGAATTTAGTGGATTTATTAGACTGATAATTGATTATCAGATAAAATAATTGATTGTAGAAAATAATAACTGATTCCAGTTATAGTTTTATTAAGCTGAACTTAACGTTTGCATCACCTTCATAAACATTATAAAAACATTCATTTGAATGAGAAGAGTCGGTGTAGGCTCAGTTCTGGACTCATGCAAGTCAGCGGTGCATCGGGTTTTTGTGATGTTAGAGCAACAGAGGCCAGCCGTGACTTTCTCACTCTTGATACAAAGTCAATGTGCAACCTTTGATCAAAATCTAAACATGTAGAGGCACCTGGGTGACTCAATCGATTGAGCGCCAGACTTGATTTTCGCTTGAGTCATGATTCCTGGGTTGTGGGATCGAGCCCCTCGTGGGCTGAGCATGGAGCCTCATTCAGATTCTCTCTCTCTTTCCCTCTGCCACTCCCACCTGCTAGCATGCCCTAATTCTCAAGTGTGTGTGTGTGTGTGTGTGTGTTTGTATATATAGATATCTATATCTATACCTATATCTATACCTATATCTATATCTATATCTATATCTATATCTATATCTATATCTATATATACACGTTCTCTACGTGTCTATATGTGTATCAATATCTGTGTTATCTATTTGTAAATGGTAGGCCAATCACCACTTAATTTCAATAGTAAAAATTTTAAATAATCCCAGCTTATAAAAATTAAGTTACTTCTCTTACCTAAACCTCAGTGCCCTCATATTTTTGAAGATTAAATAACAAATGTAAAATTCTCCGTGTATGCCACTATTATCATTAATGTGTTAACATTTTAAACGTGTTCTTTAGAATATAGAATTTATGTTCTTGTATAAATCGTATTATTGATGATGCCACTAGCCCAGACCAGCCTGCAGAGTTCTGTGTGACTGAAATACTAATGAAAACAGCTCTGGAGAGCCCAGTGTATCTACAGTGCTCTCAGCCATGCCGATGATTTAGGTGGAGACAGACATTGGAGAGATGTACGTGTCACGTGTCTCACCACGTCCATCCCAAGCCGTGGTTACATCTGAAGCCCTTGTTTGTGGTGCAGAGAATAGGGCTGTAGCCCAGAGTTCCTGATGGCCTCGAGCTGGGTATCACTGGTATTCCCTCAGTGGCTCCCATTCCATCCCAGGTGCTTCTGAGGCCAGTAGAACATCAGTTAGGAAATGCAGTTTAACAACTTCATAGAGCTGCAGTGGAGCAAAACTTCATTAACGAGGAATTATTCAAATAGAAAGGAGCATCAGCCATTGGGGAAAGTTGTATTGCCCATCAGTAAACCTAGTCGTTTTTATAGTCAGATACATAAAATGTAGATCTTTTCACTTGGGGAATTCTTGCCAAAAATATAAATGATGAATGTTTCTTTAAGAATGACTCTAATATATGTGTTACCATCGCTCCTTGCCCTCTCTAACCTCGACATGTGAATTGTTAATAATTAGTATAGTTTATGTTACTATAAATATTTCATAACCCTAATAACCCCACTGCTATTCTTTATTTATGATGACAACTACATTTAACACTCCCTACATTTTCCCTTCAATGACCTGTGGCATTTTTTGCCACCTCTGCATTTATCTAGGATTTGAATAATAGTAAAGTAAATAAGAATCTGAAAAAACCTTACATATAGAATAAATAATAAAAAGTGTTCAATATCCCAACACATGCATATATATAATAAATGTAGGTAAGCATTAGCATCCATAGCTTTTTATTTGCTAACCTTTTAATATTATTATACCAAGATTTTATTTCAAATCTCTTCCATCTCACGTTTTTAAAAGTCATAATGAATTCTTCTTGGCATTTTAAAAACTGAAAGCAAGAGTTAATAGATTTTTCCCTAACTATTTTCCATCATGGAAATGAAGACTTTCAGGAAATTGGATTCATTTATAGTTCAATATTCATATACCCACACCATAGGAAAACTCACCTGCATAACATGATAGCAATGCATTAGGGGACCCAGGTACATTCTCTACTTAATAAAATAGGAGCCAGTTTATAATGAATTAAAATTTGAAAACACATACAGTCTCATTTCTCCTCCAGATTTAGTATTCAAACAGCACCCTTATCTTGGACTAAGCCACAATGTGTTGCTTTAATCTTAAATTTTTTTCTGACTTAATTTTCATGTAAAGTTCTCTAAAGCTTAGATTAGATATAAATACATATATTTATCCATATGCTTTTGATGAAATAATTTAGAGATATGTTAAAATAGTCAACTGTTATACAATGAAAATCAAGTACCCTCATGTCCCTGACACATATCTAGGTCTTTAAGGAAAAAAAACAAAACAAAACAAAACAAAAAAAAAACCCACAAAGATGTCACCCACTGGAGTACAAGTCTACTGCCTCCTGTGGGATTCTGTTTTTTGAATTGTGCTACCTATGTGGTACAGCTAACCCAATGGGAGAAATTAGAATAAAAGTGAAACATAAAGGGGACCAGGAGATATCACTATTTTCCAACAGGGCCAGGCGTTAGAGCTGAGCTCTGTAGGGAAACTCCCACCATCCAGAATCCATGAGACTTTCAGTGAAACCACTCTCAAAAGAAGAGATTTGAATCCAAAATTGTAAATTATTGAGAAAATAGACCATAACAGGGGAAAGCATAATTTAGAGATTAAAAAAATCCAAAATTAGTTTTGATTATCATGTCCTTTTTAAATAAAGAAATGGAAATTATAAGTCAAGAACAGGATATGGTGTTAAAAATGTGGATTTGCAGAAGAATCAAATAGGAGTTCAAAAGTTTAAAAAATAGTGTATTTAAAATTAAAATCAGTTAACCAATTGAATAATAGAATATAAGATGAAGGTAAAATATGTCATTGAAAGTATATATCTGAGAATGTCAGTACACACAGAAAAGGGTGAAAAACATAAACGTTAATGTAAGACATAAACTTTAGAATAAGAAGCTAAAAGAATATCTTCAGAAAGACTGGGGAAAACGTGTAACAGGCAATGTATGAAGACAGATGATGGTTAAGAGTTCTTATAGTCTTCAGATTAAAGAATCCAACTAACCCCTGAGCAAGGTAAATAGAAACAAATCCACACCAACAAAGGATCTGGAATGACTTCAATATCCAGTCAGTGGAATACGGGCAACATTAAAGGGATAAACGAGCTCTGTTGGTACTGGTGTCAAAGGTCATCCAAGTAAGTTTATGAAGCAATAGCAAAGTGAAGAATAGGGAATAAAGTAATCACGGTGTTTTAATAAAGGGGTTAGAATGATACATACACATATTCTTATACAGGCATAAACATATCTTGAGAAGAGGCACAAGAATCTGGTAAAGGTGTTTGCCTCTGAGAAGTGTTTGCCCAGTCTGCTTTCCCACTGTGAGGATTTCATTCCCAAGCCTCTGTGCCCAACTCTTATGCCTTTCCCTGGAGAACTCTCTCATTTCCATTTCCGCTCATTTTGTTGATTGAAGTTCCCTATTCAGTGCCTGCAACAAGGAATTGCGTTTTCTTTTGCTTTGTCTTGAACTCAGATGTGTGTTAATTCTGTTCTTCCCGATGCAAATTCTATTTTGCATTTCTACCTATTGGAATCAGCCCAGCCTCCCTTATTTATTCCACATCCTCTGGCTTTTGGTCTTTACTATTAGAATAACTGGAAAAACGTATGCGCTTGCCATTTAAGACGTAACATTGGCATATACTTTTAGATGTCTGTCTTTAAATTTTGAATATGTTTCTCTTTTCTTCCTATTTTATTTATGTATAGTATAGCATACTCCACTCATGAAGGAAATCTACTTTTCGTATGTCTACATTGCCTACGTTAAAAAGAAATTTTTATGGCTCGCGGGATTTGTGTTGTACTTAGACTTTTTTTCACTTCAAGATTAACAAAAGTTAAAAAAAAATGCTTCACTGTTTATGTCTAGATACTTTAGGTTTTTATTTTTACACTTACCCAACCGGCTTCTATGGACTTTAAGCATTTCTTTCTTATTGCATTTATCACATTTTATGGTATTCTCTATTAACTCTTCGTCCCTCTCTCAGCCCAGACTCAACTGTAAACTCCTAAAGATAAAAGTGTTATTGTTATATCCTTACCTCCTACAACAGTGCCTTACATATCATGATTCTGGTAGAGACCTCAGTGTAAAGAAGAAATGCAGTTAAATCTGAGAATTCCTCAACATGTAAAGCTTTCTCTATTCCAAAGAAGCTCAAAGAAAAATACAGGGCACAGGCAGGGAGAAAATATTTGCAAATCACATCGAATAAAGGACTTAAATCCAGAATAT